TCCCATTTTGGGAGAAATCTAGGGACAGACAAACTCGGGGAGAGGACCAGAAGTCACCAGACACGGTCCCTGACAAGTCCCATTTCCACTTTGGTGACTCCTCGAGGAAATAATAAGATCTCTGAAAAATGTAATAATTTGATTAGGGAGGAAGGAAAAAAAAGGACATCATCAGCATAGCTGGAATACTTAATTTTCTAATTGATGTTTTTGCCCTCCTACTAGAACTCAGTAACTTAAACTAAGGTAGTGTCTCAGTAGAGCCCAGAGCATATACCCTACGTGCATCTGTCACTGGGGTGGTTTCCTGCAGCAGGATACCTGGCATGGGATTGTCCTGGTCAGGGTGCATCCTTTTGTCAGCTCTCAAGTGTCTTAACAGAGAATAAATATTTTCATAAGTGTTTTTTTGGGGGAAAAGTAGGAGTACTCTCTTTCTTAAAAGAATAACTTGATGTTTATTTTAAGCCTAAAGCAACACCACTGCTAACCATTCACTGCCAACCTTTCACACGTAGGAAAATGAGAGCATTTTTAATTAACTTTCCCTTTCTTTTGTTTTGCAGGAAAGTTTGTTCACCCAGAAATACTCCAGCTTGTATCTCTGATTAACACAGAAAGGAATAAAAAAATAGCTGCTACATCTCATTCACATTCCTGAGGTTTTCCCAAATGCTGTAGCTATAATAAATGTTTTGGTTTACATTCTGTGCATTGTTTCTTCTCCCATTGCACCACTAATTCTGCCAGCAGGTTTTTTTCTGTGCATTCACTGCTGAGAATCCCAGGACCACTTAGATAGGAGCAGGTGGGATAGTTACCTCCTGGATCAGAGCTTGTATCAGAGACCAAATATTTAGAATGAGTTTGTTTTGGGTTTTTTTTTTTTTTTCTTTTTTAAATCAGCCTCTGATTGATGCAGTCTCAGTGACAAATAGATTCTCCACTGGAGAAATTCAGGTAAGTTTAAAATTTAGCTGATTGCAATCTAATCTGTTGACATAATGCACTGACTGGGACAGGCAGTCTTGTTCTGTGACTTGTAAGTACATGTGGATTTAAGGACCTTCTGTATCACATGGGTTAATGTCTGGTCACTGCGCTACAGAGAAGCAAGACTGTGTTTCTCTAGAAGCCAGTTTGACAGAGCCAAACTTAGAGGGGAGATTTCTTTGGAGTACAAGACCCTTAAGAACTGATGGTGGATAAAAGTGATACTCTCATTAATTACACTTTCTCAATACACTTATTGAGGTTGGGACCTTTGGAGCTTGCACAGTCTGGTGCTGATTCTGCTGAAGTGGCAGTTTTTAGCGGAAGTAGTAAGTATCATTGTCAGGTAAAGCTGATGGGGTGGTAAATGCCATAATGAGGCCAGTCTGCACTACTAACTCTTGCATCATGTGTGCAGCTGGAGGTTAGGGTGATGGCACAGTTATGACATAATGAAAGTTTGCACCTGGGGAAGTGGCATGGTAGAGACCTGGAGGTAGCTTCTCTGTCTCCAGCCTCATGTCAAATGAGGCAGCACAAAACTAAACTCAATTGTCATCCTCGTTAAAGGTACGTAATTCAGCTGAGCACGTATCTTTGGGCACCATGGCTCAGGAAGTGTCATACTGCAAGTGTGATGGAGCAGGCCCATCGTTCTTCAGCGTTTTTATTCCGCTGAGACGCACGCAAACCCATTAGTTTGTATTGAATACCAGGCATGAAAGAGCTGTGGATGCACTGGGAGCCATAACTGAGAACATTCTTGACAAACCAGAGAAGGGGCCTTAAAGAGGCTGTGCCACAGGGGATCCAGGGGACAGAGCGCTGAGCCCCAGTCAGCAGTGCAACAGTGCAAGGTAAGCATTATCCTGGGAAACAGGGACGTGCTTTGAGCATGTGTTGTGTGGGGTTTGGTTTTGTCTAAAGGAATCCAGCAGGTAAAATCACATTCCCTTCTACTTGCTGCATGTGCGGTTGCGCGTCAGTTTTGGGCACTGTAATGTAATAGGAACAGGAATTGGTTGGAAAGAGACTGGAGGAGAAGGTGCAGTCAGAAAGCGCGAACTGTGATGACAGGTTGATAGAAAGGTTAGCCAACAGCCTGTGGGGCTTCCCGTTTCCTAATCGTGGTTTAACCTGGCAGGCAGCTAAGGGCTGCACTGCTGTTCGCTCACTGCCCCCAACCCAGAGGGATGGGGGAGAGAACTGGGGGGTGTGGAAGTAAAACTCATGGGTTGAGATAAAGACAGTTTAATAATAGAATATACAAACGAGGTGATGCATGATGCATTTGCTCACTACTTGCTGACTGATGCCCAGCTGGTCCCTGAGCAGTGATTCCCTGCCTGGCCAACTCCCCCAGTTACATGCTGAGCATGATGTCATACGGTATGGAATATCCCTTTGGTCAGTTTGGGTCAGCTGTCCTGGCTGTGTTCTCCCAGCTTCTAGTGCACCTCCAGCCTCCTCGCTGGCAGGACATGAGAAGCTGAAAAGTCCTTGACTTAATGTAAGCACTACCTAGCAACAACTATACCAGCAGTGTGTTACCAACATTATTCTCATCCTAAATCCCAAACCCAGCACTACACCAGCTGCTAGGAAGAAAATTAACTCTATCACAGCCAAAACCAGGACACTAGTGCAGTACCAAAGTGTACTGAAAAGTATGCTTGGCCCTGGACATGTGACCTAGGAGAGGAAATCACCTTCTCCGTGTCTTTCTGCTGTGCACCGTTATCGGCATTGAGCCTACACATGGTGGTAGCTGCTGTAATGACAATAACATGTAAGGGCTTATATGGAAGAGAAGCCAGTCTGGCCATCCTGCCTCCACTAACAGTCATACTGACACCAACTCTTTAAAGTATGCTCTTAATGAATGTAGTTAAAAACAATTTACTGCTTTCCCAGAACCCTTTTTTGTGTGTGTAAGTATACATATATATACACGTGAAGAAAATGAGGTCTAAATCAGTGTCCTGTAGATGACAGTGCTTGAACTCCACGTTTTAACCATGGGTTTAGCTGCGGGCCCTGCTCAAAAGGTTACAACTAGATGTTTTCTGCCACACAGTTCACTTTTACTGAACTCTCTTCAATCATTTTTCACCTTGGAACCTCAACAATTTACAAACTTGAGCCCCAGATTTCCATGGGGAACTTCAGGTCCAGAGGTGACGGAATGGACTTTAAAAACCGTAGGAATGGTGGATTATGTTCTTGCAATTTACCTTGATACTCTGTAGTGACATGGCAAGGCTTAGAGACGCATAGTAATGCTGCTAAATAAACAGAATTAAAAGAAAAACATCACAAAGTGTAGAAGAGTAAGAGAAATTTATTTTTAGTAAGAATATCAATAACTTCATTTACACAAACTAAGTTGACGATTAATATCTTCTTTATTTAAATAAATTCACATTTAAGCACAAAACCACGTAAAATAAGCTAGCAAACTGTCACAAGAAAACTGTACTAAAAATAACTCATTAGATTTGCTTGCATGCTAAAAATCACACTAAAGAGGCATTTGATATAGATGTCCAAAGTTAACTTATGTCCAGTAGAACATTACGAAAGGACTTCCAACTTTGTAAAAACTATAACAAAAGCCACACAGGAAAAAAATCACTTAGAGCCAAGTTTCCTTATGAGATTTTAAGCAGTCTGTAATGTCCAAGTCACTAACACCGATTTGAAGCTTTGGCTTATGCTCAAAAAAATGCATCCATTTGGAAAGTAGCCAGACTGTTTTCCATCTTGTTTACATTTTATTGATAAAGTTACGCTCATCTCAGTCCGGTGAACTGAGCAATGCAACATGCAGACTGACACGTGCTCACTAGACAGCAAGATAGTGTCACAAGCGTGCTGCTCTTTTCTTAGAAAAAAAAAATGTTAAAAGGATCCAAGAAAACATGCTGAAGCATAGCTGAGAGATGACTGGCTTGTGGTGATTAAGGAGATAGATACAATGCGGTTGGTGGATTTATGTCCTGGAGTGATGCACGACAAAATTTGACACGAAAAGTGAAATACTTACTCATCCTGGCTATTTGTAAGATAACAGGGTTGATGCTAGCAGCTCTGAAACACGGACTGAAGGCATGGGCTTGCTAACCTATGGCACATCTTAAGCCAATTGTTGGTTTTGTATTCTTTCGCTTAAGGCTGTCTCTTGACTGAGGTTCATAAATAAATCTTCCCTTATTTTTGAGGGGAAGATATGGAGGCAAAATTATTAGCGGTTCCCTCTGCACCACTTCCCTTTGTAATTAACTTATACTGTCAAGTCTTACCAAACCACAGAGAGCAAGCAACAGGAACTTTTTCAGCTACAATGATCATCTTAAATCAGCAGCTGTGATTCGGTTTCTATACAAATAACTGGGCATCTCTTCCTGTCCTCCTTAGCCCCGCTGACTAATGGGTGGAGGGCAATGCCAGACTGTCCCAGTAAAGGAGAGATAACTTTGTGACAAGAAGTGATTTAATTCCGTTAGGTAAGAGATCATGTACAGACACTCCTGAGCAAAGGGCACCTGGTATGGCTGGTAGACAGCTGGTACATGGACTGTTGCTGGCAGTAAAAATCTTTGCACAGCTCTAGGTCCATCTGTCTGATGTGGCACTGAGAGGGCAGTTGGAAACCAACAAATAGGAAAAAGTAGACTAAAAGAAATAAGAAACAGAGACTGGGAGATTGTTGGAGGGAAGTTACATGACAATGAAAACTATTTTGGTCACTTAACATAGAATTTAGAGCATCGTAAGTCAAAGGCTTGCATGTAGTTTCTATGGTGTACCAAGTACCTGACAATAAAATGGCCCATCTAAAATACAAATAGAGAGAGGAAAATGTTTCTCCAGCACAAAGCCAGGGAGGCAATTTTCCAAAGCTTACAAAACCTTGTTGCGCAAGTTGGGTGGCAAGGGAGGTCTAAAAATCACTGGCTGGCCAAGTCTCTGAAGAGAGGCATGTGAGGCTCAGGAGGACCTGTAGTCTAACACTGAAGCTCTTCTTCACTCTCAGGGAGTCGGGTGCCAGCAAGAGAGCTCTGAGCGCTGGCATGGGCTGTAGAGCTGAGAACTTCTTCAAAACTGCCTCCCGTGTGGCTTGTCCCACCAACCTTGGTCTGAAACAAAGAGAACAGCAAGTTCCTCTGCTCATGCTGTAGCAAGTCCCATTTGCATTCCACCCCATCGCAATGGAGGGCTGGGAACTGGTCCAAGCAGGCAGAGAACATGTGGGGTTGGGTTTTTCTTCAAACAAAAGCTCTAAAAAGAGCCAAATAAAGCAACCTCTTTCCTCCCCCAATTTCTAATCTTCTAGGCTGCAATCATAAAACCTGCCAATGGCATTTATCATATGCTTAGAGGAAGCAGTCCCTAAGTAGTTCCCAGGCAGGATCCTAGATCCTACCAGTAAACTTAGTGTGATTCTTCACATGAGTAGCTCACACTGGTGTCACTGGTTTTTTGCAGTTCTATGGAGGCTGGATAAGCGATGAGTATTAAAATGAACTGGTTCATTTGCTGAGTACAGTGGCCCACCCACCAGCAACAGTAACACAGCTACTCTCAAAATACACAAGCTGCACTGGGATTTTGGACACTAGAAGGAATATAGTAACCAAAAAACAAAACCAGCTGCTTGTCTCCCTTTAGGTACTTGTGGCTACCTAGATACTGATATATAAAACTGCCCATGGCATTTTCATGGAAGAGATATCAAATTAATGAAACATGACAGTGTGCTCACAGGTTGCCTACTTTCAAAGTGCTTCAGTTTGATGAATTTATAAATATAAGTATTAAAAATAAAATCCATTATGACTAAATCTCTGAACTGGAGTTTTCCTAACAAAGACAGAGCTTTATCTAAAGATGTGGAAATGGTCAAGACTCAGTGATGAATAGACAAAGCTGTTTTGAACGGGTTGTCTTGGTAAAAGAACATTCTTTTGTGATTTGGCTTGCTGATAGGCCCACTTGAAGTTGATTCAAGCTTGAAAATAGGGCAAAACTTTTTACTCCATTCCAGAACTACAGCAGGACTTAGAGACAAGCTGGCATTTTTCCAGCGTGTCAGCCACTGAATGCTTAGGAAGATTATTTTAATTAAATGAACTTCGTGTCCCAAGTTTCCAAATGGTTAATCCTATGTAATCCTTTGTTTCATCAGCTAGCACACAACCTTGCCTAGCTTGAAAGTTCAATAAAAGAACGTAGTAGTAGGTCTGATATTTGCTCTGACAGTTTGAGTCACTGTTCTTAAAAGTTCCCATCTCAAGAGGTAAAAATCTGTATCCATTCTAGTGGGTTGTGCTGACTTCCAGAAAGTATTAGTCCATCACTGATTTTTGCAAACAGGAATCCAAAATACATATACTGTTAAATGTTGGTAGGCCCAGAACTTGCAGTGAAAAGGCAGCCACTGCCTAGTAAAGCTACTATTAAGTTTTCATGGCAAAACTCATGACTTATTTGCCAAGTAGAATTCTCAAAAGCACACTGATTCAGATTGATCAGAGTGATTGTGAAAGAAGACTATTCCTGCACTATTTCAAATGACTCAGATAAGGTGGATCTGAATTTGGACACCTCAAAATCAGAAACAATAATGCAGTTTCATTTTTTATTTGCTTTTCTGCCTCCTCTTCCATCCAAAACTAGGAATGATGTAAGTCACTTTATTGAATGTCTCTGGCCAATCCCCCAGTGTTCACACAAACATTTAATTCATCAGTGTTCTGATTTTCAGAAAAGTTGAAAAGAATAAGGTACTCAGGTCCTGCTGACTTCCAGGGGAAGCTGAATACACTCTCCTAAGAAAGCTGCAACCCAAAGTCCAAACTCCATGAGCAAATAAAATCTAATTTGAAATTTGACTTCTAAATGTATGAAATCTGAACACCAGTTTTGGCTGACTACAGAACATTGTAGGACCACTGAAGATCTGTAGCTAATATGGTGGGTAGAAGATGGTAAGACTACTGCTGTTTTCTCTTTTTCAGCAGCCTCTCTGGTAAGTTCTCCACTTTTTCAGACCACAACAGGACCCTAGAATTGAAGGGACAGCCTATGGTTTCTCCCCCTACCCCTCGGTCTTCCTAATCTTGCAAGCCTTGGATCAGAGGCAGGGAAAAGAAAGAACAGTGCTGAGGCATTCCCAGTTGTCCACAGCTTACATTGGTGGCACCCTAGGTCCGTGACTTCCAGCTTCCCTTCTCCATTTGCACAAAGAAATGAAAAAATTAAAGCAAATACAGAAACTATTTCTGAAAATGTCAGTGGGTTTGCCAATAAAGATGGACACTGAGGGGTTCATGGAATGTAGAAGATGATTTTAGACTCAAGACTTTTTGCTTTGTCATGCTTAATTAAATATTCCTTAAAGGATGATCTAAGAGCACTCTGAACACGACAGGCTAAGAGCTGTCATGACAAATAGTCTCTAGAACACCTTTGCTTAATCAGCAAAATAAGATCAGGCTCCTCAAGCAGATCACTGTGAGAAGAAATGGTCTTCAGAGCTGTGCAGTTTGAATTGACTTTTCCTCTTTCTGAATGACACAGTGAGGTGACTGGAAACAGACACCTGTCTGTCCCTTGATGCAGAAAGGACATCACTCACATTTGTCCCTGACTCCTCAAAGCAAGGCAAAAGGCGTTAAGCTGTCCCTCTCACAGCTTGGCCTAAGTGGAGGAGGAATAGATTTGCGGAGTCTAAGTAGTCTAGAAGCAAACTTGGGAGCCAGAAGTACTACTGAAAGCCCTGAGGGTAGGTTTAGTGACTAAATGGGTACAAAAAGTGCTGCACTTCTCCAACTGGTGAGTGGTGAAAAAAAAAAAAAAAATCTATTTGAGACCTCAGCTGTTCCAATGAGCTGCATCCCTTATCTAAATGGGTAGAAGGAACACAAAGGGATAAGTAAGCAATATGCTTGACTGCAACAGACAGGAATTCAGACCTTCCAAGCCAATGCACCCCACTGCATGAATGACTTCTCCTACAGTGAGGTTGAGTATAAAAAGCAGTTGCAGCTATGGTGAAAAGAATGAATAGGAAAACGTATAGGGGCACACAGCTGGGGCTCTGGAAGTCTGTGTTCCCTTCTAGCTCCTTGGGATGCTCCTAGTCTTCCCTGGGATGCTGCCTCCCACCTGTGAAATTGAGATGATGTTTCCCTCTCTGACACAGTGCAATGGAGATGACATTACCCTACACGATGATGACTTCAAGTTGTCAGAACAGCCTATCACTAAATAAATGTGAACACTCAAAATCTGACAATGATAGAGCAACTCTGCATTCTTTGATGGACATGCTTATTTAGAAACATAAAAATAGATCAAGCTCTCTGCTGCTTACTTTCCTTTCCTCAGACATTGACTGGAAAATTTTATGTGCTGTACGATTTCGCAGTGGCATGGAAAAGACAGACCTTCCCTGTGCACCTGCTGCTTCAGTGCTAGCTGTAATTTGCATTTTCTGTAAGGAGGAATGTCCTTCTGCCCCAAGCAGAAGGCCATTTTCTTGCCTTTTTAATGTTTTACAAGTTGTAACGCTCTTTGACATTAATCTAGTGTTTTCCCCCTAAAATGCGGGGTGATCAATTTGGCCCTTGTCCACTGACAGACTGTACTTGGAATGTGTTGGAATCTTTCTATAGCAGCAAAGTAAAATTCCATTTTATGAGCACACTTGACTATCTGATGAACAAGAACCATTCAGAGACAATCACATGTGCCACAATATGCCCAGCCATGTAACTCTGCTTCTAACCTTTACCTTAAGGCTTGTGACAGTGGTCTCAACCTTCTCCTCAAACGATTTGAAAGTTGGAGAATTCCTAGGAGAAAAAGTAAGTTGAAGAAAGGAAGAAGAGTCAGTTGCAAACGTAATGAGGTAAACTCCACAATTTGATCAGTTCTTAAGCAGGCAACAATGCTAGGACAGAATGAAGGCTGGCTGGCAGCACAGGGCTATAGACTGATACGGTACAGTCACTTGTGCTCTGCCAGTCAAATCTAACTACGGTAATCAGATGAGTATTTTTTAGCTACAAATTTGCAAAAGCAGAACCTGCTGAGTAATTGAAAGCAAACAGTGGCCTGCCTACCTTCTGGGACATTTATCACGTTTTCAGAAGAACAACCAGGGAACGCTGGCTGTAGTGCTGCATTACTCTGGTTTTAGCCATTTGTGGTGGTGTTGTCAACAAATTAACATTTGTTTTTCAGCTGATGAGCAAGTTCATAATCTACATAATTAAAAAGATGACAGTTTAATGTCCTGAGGCTAGGATGAAGGAGATTAGAACTCCATAGCAAGTGGGTCCCAAATGCCTTTGAGGCATCCTGAGCCCCCACTCCATGATTTTGTGACCACAGGTGTATCCTGCTGCTTTCAAAGACAACGACTTTAGGGAGACTGTGTTCCTAGGGTGCCCCTCTGACAAAGCTAAGCTTTTCTCTGCCTTTTGCTCCCTGTAGAACAGAACACAACACTGTTTCTGGGAAAACTGTGAGTTGAACATATCTTGTAAGAATAAAAGAAAAAGGCAACAGCTGTGATTTTCCTTCTTAAAGCAAATCACATATTTGGTTTGCTGGCTTGCCTGACAATCTTGTTCTTTCTCCAAAACTTGAAACATAGCCTCTCCTTCATTTTAAATGCATGCAATTTCTTCCATTTCTTCCTGCAAACAGAACATACTGACCACAACTAATATCTGCCATGTAATATTATTAATATAATGCATATGCTGTTTTAAAGTGAGAATATGGATTCTCATAGAGATCTGTACTCAAATGCCCCTCAGTTCCTTAGATGGATGTCTCTTCTCCCCTTTTTGCAGCAGCTTCCCCACTGCTGATAGTCCCTGTCCCACGTAGGAAGACATGCTAGAAGCAGACAAGCTGGAGTAAGTACAAAAGCTTGTCTCTTCCTCTTGTAGTTTAGCTAGGACAAAGGACTTGGGCAAATCTACAGTGGGCAAAAGGGATCTTCTTCTGGTTCTTTGCTCCTTGCTTGACAACTGAGAGCTCAATTACAGCATACTTTGTGTTTCATTATTAGTGAAGACTGCAGCTCAGAAACTGTTGTCCAGCAAGGTTCCTCTTGTACCTTCTTTACCATAAGAGACAAAGAGGTGAGAGGATCTCTCTAAGCCCAGTGCAGTACAATGAAGCAGTTTAGTGTTTAGTTCTTCAGCTTTTTTTTTTTCTTTTTTTCACCTGTCTATTGTGGTATATCCAGAAAGAGATTCTAGAAACTACTACCACTGAAAGCATAGGGTACCTCCTAACAACATGGCCAACAGGATGCACTAAAGCCAGTACAGCCATTTGTTCCTACATGAAATAAAACATAACAGTGATCTTTAACCATAACGGAGGATACCCTCAGAGTGGAACAATGAGGCAGAACCACTTTACTCTGGCAGGTGCCCAAGTCTCTGTGTCAGCCACGGGGAAAGGCAAACACATTCAGGAGCCTGTGCTTCATTTCCGAAAGCGATGAAGCCAGTGGCTGCTAAAACTTTAGTGTTCCAGTTCATCCTCTGTACATTCTGGGAACTTACCAGGACCATCATGATGGCCTCTATCTCTGCACATACATTTACATCATATCCCTCATCAGGCTAAGTTAAACTGACCCTAATTTAAGGAAAAGGCAAACAGAAGCTAGTTGGAAAAATAATGCAGATTTACTTTTGGTTTCGATTAAATAGGCGACAAACTTTTCATAGCGCAAGAAGGGTCAAAAGGAGAGAGAAATTGAGTTTTATAACTTCTATTTGACTCATAGGTCACACAGGTGAACGCTTGCCTTAAACTAACCACCTGCTGAAGGTGAATGAATTAGCATCCATCATATAGTTAGGAGTTTTGTTCTCCCTAAATGCATGGCAGGGAGTGGGGATATTCATATATTTAGAGGCTGAGGGGGTAAAAAGAAAGCTGGATCCTAATTTTACTGAAAACACTTGGAGCTTTACTTGAACAGACATCAATATTTGGCTGCAGTCAAGTAAAGTGTCGTTATAGCCATTAAAATATGAAAGCACTCATATAAAATCCCTCCATAGGAGCATGATCCAAAGCCTGCTGGAGTGGAAAGCATCTCTGACGTTAATGGGCTTTGGATAATGTTCTAGAGACAGCAAAACAACTGAATTACAGATTCAGTAATACAAACCTGGTAACAATCAACTACCCAAATACATCTCAGAACTGCTTCATTTACTCAAAGGCTTGTACAAGAGATTAAAGAGTTAATACAATTAAAAAGAAAAAACCCACAGATGGCCTGTCCTGCAGCCCTTATCTACATGAATAACCTTAATTGATTGAAGTGGGACTATTCATCCAACTAAAAACTGCAGGATCAGGATCAAAGCATGCAAATCCCCCCTCATTACACTGTAGAACATCACCATAGCAAATAGAATATGGGTAGCATATTACCTCATTGCAGGCATGCTTATGGAATGGCGAATAGAGTAACTGTGGGATGAAAGCAAAAGATAAGGGGAAAAAAAAGCTGTAAAATCCAGTTTGCAACATGATTATAACATATAATTTTTATTTTTTAAACTTAGCTTTAAATATATATACATATTTTCAGTAGTACTGGTACTCTTTCTGTCCTGATGGCAATATCCGTTTGAATGATGCAGGCCCCTGCTATCTATAGGGACACGCAACACGTGACAGAGGAACAGAGAGCTACCTGCGTGTTGCGCAGCGAGAGGCATTAAGCTCTGTGTTGGACGCGTGCAGTACGCCTCGGGTTTGTGAGCATAAACAGAGCTGGTTCAAGGCAGCAGGCAATTGCCCACCTTTGTTGCATGTACAACGCCTATTTCTGTAGGCTCCTGCACAACAGGCTGCCTAACCAAGAGGTTTCTTCAACCAGAGAGGCAGCTCTCTTGGCTGCAGCAGCTGCTCTCTCCATCTCTCTAGGATGTTTCACCTCCTCCTTCACACCTCAACATTACCAAGGGTAGAAAGCTGTTTTCCACAGCTCTTGTCCTGCTCTCCCTGTAACACTTCCCTCCTCAGACTTCCCAGCAGCAAGAGTATCATCAGAAGGCTGGCAAGCAGAGGATGGAGCCTCTGGATCACTCAAAGATCCCCAAATTGTCACTAACTGCTTGACTTGTTAGCCACATTCTCCCACCTGAGCCACCAAAGCCAACTCTGCTATCATTGCATCACCTGTTCCCTGCTGCTGGGAAGCCTGTTCTGATATTTGAAGTGTAAGAACTGTCCACAAGTACATTTAGAGCTGAACACTGTAAGTAAATTGTGCACTGCAAGAGTATGTATTGTTTCAAAAATTCCTGCGTGGCTCCTTTCAGTGGTGACTGACAGCTGCAGCTTGGTCTGATTGAGAACAGTGAGAGCTTCACTTTACTTAGACCAACATTTGGCTGCAATCAGGCAAAGCATGATTACAGCATTAAAAAATGAAAGCTCTCATATAAACAGCACATGTGTTTGTTCTAAGTGATACAAATTCAGAGCAGCACTGTGTCCATATACACACAAAAGATTTTTTTTTTCCAGATTAAAAATTCAGAAATGGGGGGTGGGGGGAGAGCTGTTTGGCAAGCAGGTGGGACAGAGATATCTTATGCAAACTGTTTGTTGTTGTGTATATTTGAGGGCTTCTGCTAAGCTCAGATAGACAAGAACCGACAGCAGACAATGAAAATGTTTCATGTTCAGTTTTTCACATCATTTTTAAGACTTATGAAAGATTAGCCCAAACATTTCACAAGTACAGCAAATCTTTAACAATCCTAGTTAAATTAAACAAGCCTGCTTGCCATTTTAGTCTTGTAACACATGACAAATAGGCAAAAAATAAGAATTTGGAAGTATTTCAGCATAGGCTGCTCCTCTTCTAATAGCAAAACTTTCCAAATATGAAAGTCTAACTAAGAAGATTATATTGTGCCAAATTAAATTTGCACAGCTGAGAGAAGGCATGTGACAGACAATCTGAATACTAAGTGCACATTTCACTGAGTTCATCTTTTAATTTATTTAAGGAGGTAAGGATGCAAATTATAGGAACAGTGACAACATCATCTTTTAATTTAAGCCTAAAATATAAAGCTTTTTTTTAAAGACACACTTGTTTGATGGTGATCAGTGCAGAGACAGAGAACAGAGATCCTTCCTGACAAAGGTTGCTAAACATTTTAGTTTCATGTCAGAGTGAGGTAGGAAGGTCAATCTATGCCCTCTTTTGAAGTTTTCTCAGTGAAGTAAGAGTCCATATTAGGATCACTTAGCTGAACAGAAAAATTGTTCTTGACCTGTCCTGTGTACTGGCGATGCTACGAGGCCAGAGGGACCGCAGGGGGGTCAGGGCTGTCCAGCCCCTCTGCTAGGTGAACTGATGTAAAGCCAGATCGCTTATAGAATCTTTGAGCACACATAAAATTGTTTTGTAATTCATCATATACTGAAGTGCTTTACACATCAATAAATTCAAGCTCTAAAGATAAAGAACCCCTTTAATTATGTTAAGAACTTGGCCTACTATTGGAAATTTCCCCAGGACTCAAGACTTAAACACCATCATGACTTCATGACTAATATACTTTTGGTTTATTGAAGAGGAGGTAATTAAATACTTTATACAATCTTTATAAAACTCTGCCGGCTGAATAGAATTTTTACTGAGCGTTTGTTGTTTATGTTCCAATCTCTGACAGAAAAAAGATGGTTGAGAGAATGGGATTACGTATAAATAGGTTTTCCCAAGAGCAACGTCTTTTGAATGCGTTTGTTATTTGAATTTGAGACCAATCTACTGAAGAGCAAGGCAAACACACTGTAGCCACTTAGTCCAATCCTTTCCTCATTATACTCACCATGCTGTAAAAATAAGGCATTACAGTTTAAGTAGCATATGTTTCTATCACATACAGTGATGCTGAAAGGAAAGAGGTTACTGCATTACATTCCATAAAACAAATCCTGTCAAATACAGAAGCAGTATTCAAGGAGAGTAATGTGTCTTACCCAATTGAATGCGATCTGTGGTGGATGCACAAGGAAAGAAAAGCAAGAGTTAAAAGTATTATGAAAATGTAACAAAAATATACATATATATCTGTAGCATGTCAAACTGCGTGCGGAGAAAAAGAAAATCATTTGCATTCAAATCTTGATGCTGGAATTCACACTAGACTGTGGATCAGTTCAGATTCCTTCAAAGCAAAAATTTTCATACACTCCTTCACTATGCAGTCACCTATTCCACGTGCAACAAAGATCGGCGGTTTTGTCTGCTAAACTTTGTATTCTCTTCATTAGATCAGATTTAAACAATGCTAACTGGTTTTCCTCCCAAAATCCTACCTTAATCTCATCAAAGAGAAAGTATAGGTGAAATGGAATTGTACATCAGCAGCAAATATCTTCCCTCCCCCCCCCCCCCCCCGGATTTCCTATCATCTCTCAGTTGAGAAGGGTATGGAAAAAAATAAGGGCCTTTAATTCCTAAAATGACATTTTCTGAAATACTTCTTCCTTGTTGAAAACAGTACTTGAAACACTTTGACACTGTTTTCCAGCTCACAAGAAACTTAATTAAGGCAGCACAACTGGGAGATACACACTGATACACAATATTCAAAGGATGTCGTTAAGGTTCCGAAGTCGAGAAATGATGAGGCAGACAGCCACTCCTTCATCTCTGTGTGTTATTGCTGTAGTCTTTAATTACAGACCACTTCAAGGCAACACCTGCCTCATGCAGTGAGCCAGATAGATGGTGCACACTTAATGAACATGTCTTCAATTTTTTCACATCCTTTTTCAATGTGTGGTGTGATGCATTATTTACTGCACAATATTCATACCTTGCTCTGAAGAAAAGCATTGATTTCTTCAGGGTTATATACAGGGCTCATAATCATGTATATTGGTGCTTCTCAAACATTCATGGATTTATCTTCACAACACATTTCTGCTTAGACCCTCATAAGTAATACTGTTACCATAAGTAGCCTCCTGTTAATACTTGCTGACTCCCTGTACCAGCCACTCCCTTCTCCATGCTAATACAGATATTTGGACAGCCATATGATAAGGAAATCTGTGTTACTGCACAGCTCTAAAAAACAGCATAAATGAAGGGACGAGTGTCAGTAGAAATGAGAGAAAACAACTGCTTCACCCATCAGCAAAAGAAATGCTTATGAAATTATATTCTGAAGCAAAACAATATTACTGTTTCCTTTACAGAGGATATCAGAGACACAGAGGTTTAAGAACGGTAGTTTTGAGTAGGACAACCACAATATTTCAAGGAATTCAGCTCTCAACAAGTTCAGCAACAGTTTTAAGTGCCCAGAACATTCCTAGATCATGGAAATCCTGGAAATGCACATCCCTGCCTGTTTCTTTCCACATGTGCCTTCCAACTCCTGGCAGGAATGAGGCATTATATTACCTTCATTCATCTTTAGAGCTGGCTCATCCCAGGCACTGAATTTGAAAGGGGTCTGTGTGATCACCTAATTAAAGAAAATGTATGAGACAGTTGAATGAAGGATGTATAAGCAGTATAACTGCTGACATCCTAATTTGCATGCACGCCTTTGTCAGCTTAATCTTCAAATGCATTTACTTGCGTCGTAGTAATGTATGTGGTAGTGTGCATGTAGTAGTGCAGTGTATGGAGTTTCCTTTTTTTATTTTTACTTTTTAAAGCAAACAAAAAAAAATCAGAAAGTCTCCTACTTGGCATCACAACTTATTACTACAAAGGGCATCACCAGGGCTGAAACTCTTAGACGCACATAGATGGTTGCAGGGCAGTCCAGCAGCATTGCATGAAAGATCCAAAGTTTACCAGAACGCAAAGGAGCAAGGGATAAAGACCCTCAGAACTCCGTATCACATCCGTGCACTACATGGCAAGAGCCATGTTGAAATGTCGGAGTATAACCTCTGTTTCTGAGAGATCTGAGCCTACACTGCTGCCCTGTGACTTGGGACTCCCTTCTTCCCCTTTGCCTTCCTTTTCCATGGCAGAAAACATTAAAGGAGGCAATACGAGCTGCCAGAACCAGGACAGGGTGGAGGGCCAAAAAAAAATCCTGACGGCATATCATTAATCACAATAGCTATTCATGAAGAATATATTAACTATATTACTAGTGCCTGATTTGTATCCCAAAGCAAATGTATGTGTATACTGGTTTTATATGCATTTCTCATATTTCTAGTAACATGATAATATTAAATAGAATGCATTGCAACTGTAAAAAGACGTTCCAAGCACTAATAATTCATACAGAGCTTAGAAGATGTAAGCTGCTAATGATTATTCATACACAAGATGAGTTAGAGAGTTGCAACACTGGGAAGCTGGGGTGGAGATGAAAGAGAAGCACAGCAGCTGCATCAAAAGCACTTTGTCCCAAAAGGGTGGCTTCTCTGTTCTTTGCGACACATGGAATTTTGTCATTTTTCTTTCTTTCTTGTAGATTTCATCTTCTTGAATTCTAGCACAGCAAAATAGCACATTTGTGGGAGTCTATCTATCTGGCCTGTTTCTGATCTATGATATTTTAGTAAATATTTTTAGAGATAATCCAGGGTGAAATATCTTTCAGGTTATTAATTGAGACCCTGCATCTTCAGAACAGAAACATATGTGTTTCGTGTGGTGCTCTGTACAGTTGACATAGCAGGCAACCTGGAAAACAGAATTTTGTTTCACAAAGGTGGCAGTCTTCGATATTTAGAGTCAGGCTGACTACAAACACTTTCAAAATCACCATCGCCACAGGCAGGGGGTAAAGGCCAAACATACCAGACTCTGAACATACTGGGAATTATGATGATCATCTGGATTGTAGAAATCAGTTTCAAGTGTCTGTTCTGAATGAATGCAGAACAGGGATTTGCATCTGGATGCCATTGGTGACTATCAGCCTTAATGCCTAACCAAGAGAATTAAGCTAGAGTCTGATGTGTGTTTAAATCAGCATTATGGGAGGGGGGCGGTGATAATCCATATCTGAAAATATCACCGAAATAAAATGATTTTGATTAGCAAAAAAGCAAGCAAACAATAAAGAACGCATGCCTCCTTACAGCTTACGCCCCTGAACACAGCTGGGATTGGAGTGGGAAAGGGGAAGATTTTTAAAACCAGGTTATTTAAGTTATAAAGTTTACAGCGTGACCCCACGCAGAACTGCACCTGCCTGAGGTGAGCCAAGATCTTAGGCCAGCTTTGCTGCTGAGTGAAGCATACTGACCATTACTCCAGATTCAGGATGTTCAGCAGATGCAGAAAGCCCAAGTCATGCCATGCTTTATGTAACTACGGGCTGCTGGCTATACTGCCTGCTGCTTCATCATCAAGTGTCAAGAAAACTCTCCTAATTGAGAACTTAACAGTAAGCGTCCACAAAAAATGACAGTGCTGGTATATTCAGTTCATATTTTCCTGAAAAATTCCCAACCAGGTTCAAGGCAATAATTTCAAAGAAAGCTACTAGAAACAAACTTCTTGATTAATCAAAATGCTTATGGAGTTAGCCTCTGCTTTGAGCCCTTGGCTAAAGAGCTAATGGGATAAATACCACCCATCTGCTTCCCAAGCGCTAGTCAGAAGCATAATCGCCATGGAGGTGGGGGTTGATACTGAGGTAAGACAAAGGAATTTGGTAACAGTGACTGATTAAGGGAAATACTAAAGGAAAAACATGCTCTATTACAGTGAAGACACTTCTGCCTTTGTGGTTATCTCACACCCTATGCAAATCACAAGCAACAGGACCTGAGAAGTACTGAATTGTTAAGAGTTCCCGATATGATCAAGAGCCAGTGTTCAAGGTATTTGTACACCAACTCTTTGATCACTGCTGTAAGCTCTACAGCCTGGAAGCAGCAACAGGACCTGTTCGCTGAGCAGTAAGCTTGTCTTTTTTACAGGAGGAAGTGTTAGGAAAGAACAGAAAATGAAACAGAGGATATGTTGGTGCCACATGCAGCACACGCATCTCATGCATTTCTCAAAAATACAGAATACAACGATAAATGCAGGGAAGGCAGTAAGAATAAACAAAGGCAGGAAAAAGGCTTGTGAAAGCAACTCATGCAGCTGGAACCTCAGCCTGGAAAAGAGGGAATTGAACTGAATATGATAAAACCACAGGAAATCAGGAGTGACATGAAGGACAGTAGAAGGACTGTAGAAGGACCAGAGGACACTCACTGGTTCTCATAATAGAAGAGCCAGAAGGCATCAAAGGAAAGACCAGGGAGACTCAGAATAGGGAATGAATGAACAAATAAACCACACGTCTATTTACCACATAACTATCTGTTCATCTGGGGAGACAGGAGGTGCTATGAATGTCAAAAGCTCATACATGTTAAAATAAATAAAAAAAAGATAAATTCATGAAGAAAAACCCTTCAAAGACTTTTAAATGAAAGCTCAAACCTCTGTTTTAGAAAGTTGGCAGCTCTCAGATTGCTGAATGCTAAAAAAAAAAAGTACTAGGAAAATGTAACTACATGCCTCCTTATTTTTGCATCCTTTTATAGGCATATACTACCTATGGATGTTTAACTGTATCAAGTCAAACAATTCTTAGTTTATGTACATACCCTGGTTGCAAGTCACTCACTAGATTTCCATTTTAAACTGCAATGTGGAAAAAGACACTGTAAAGCAGATCATAGAGCGATGAAAGTTTTCCTTTTTTAGTTTCACCTAGAAAAACAGTAGTATAAACCATCTGTGTATGGTTTATTAAGCTGTACGTAAAAGGTAGGTATAAAGGAGGGACTCTAAAAATAAAAAAGTGGGGGAAAAAAGTTTTAGTTGCCAAGAACTACGCTTCACAAAAAAAATACTTGAAATACTGTAAAATGGATTCACACAGATCTTAGGACGTGGTTACCTCATACATTACAAAATGACCAAAAAAGTGAATACATACCAATATCTCTAATAAATGAGACCCTACTTCTGCAGTTCAAACAATATATTGTAGAGTTACCCATGTCCATTTATTTCATCACAAAAAATCAGCTCCCTGAAACACCTGAGAAGTTCTGTAATCCTGCTATGAAGTTGAAAACTGAAGTGCCGGTTTACAGTGTACAATTTCTTCATTAATGCTTTCATTCTGAGGAACTTTAAGATCCACACTTTTAAAGATACATCAACATATAAAGCCTGACATTTAAGTTGCATTTTAGTGACAGTTCTTCTCCAGACCTCAATTCCTGTTACTTTCATCACATCTTTTTTCATACATACAACTGCAGAGCAAAACTTTGCCTTTGTACATCTTGAAAAAGCTGATAAAAAATAGCCTGAACTATTTTTTTGATTTATCTTTCCACAAGGAGCTCCAAGGCAGGCTTGTTTTCTTTAGATGATGTTGGTCTATAGAATCCATATATGAATAAAATTCAGTTAATAAAGATCTAACAGCATTTTTTTGTTCCATTTTACTTGTAGATTTCCTTGAGCTTGCAAAGATATTCCAAAAGGATTTCAAATTGCACTTATTTTTTTTTAAACCAAGACTCAAATAAGAATTGTATCTTCATTCATTGTTATCCCTTCTTTTTGGTTGAAATGATGAATGTTATAAAAATACTCTGACTACAAACTATTTGAACCTTTAAAACACTAATGCAGAAGGAAATGAAGAGCTGACAGATGACTTATACTTTTTGTTCTCAAAATAAGACCAGAGAAGCAGCAGATTCCTATACCTCATATCTCCAAACTTCTTGCTGATAGCAGTTCCTACATTGCTGATAGCTGCTGTTGCTTTTTGTCCTGCATGGCTCAGGGTCTCATGTGTTTTCTTGTAACTGGAAACAAAAAATAGAACAGAAATAGTGGTAAGTATTAAAAAAAGAGAGGCTAGAATCGCCTGCAATTAATTTGCTTTTCCCTTATTTCCACATCTTAAAGTCCCATCCACAGAAAGGTTAAGCAGCGTAGTAACTGTAGCACAAAACAAATTGCAAAGACGCCCACATCTGCACAGTTTCCTAAGTGCAGTATAATCCTAATGTGAGCAAAACACTCTCCAGGGCAATCCTTCACTGCATCTCTCCCCCTTGCAGATAATACCCCCTGGGTGGGTCAGTACAAGCTGTTTAAAAGTAGAATGCAGGGATTTGTTGAATACTGTTTGATACAAATTCTGATTACAGAAAATAATATATATATATCAAATAAGAATTCTTGCAGCAGACACTGACTTGGTAGCAAAATCAGCTGGCTAACGCACAGAAAACAATCAGGACGTACACAACCCTGCTCTTCCATGCATATACATATTAGGTACATTTAACAGATACACTTTAAAATGATTTGTTGATATTTCAAATTAAACAAAATTGATCAAATCTGTTTCTATATGCTACAGTTTCACTTTTTAAAAATTTCTTTAAGGGAAGGAGGTTTTGGGGGAGAGAGAGAGAAAGATGAAAAAATATCTCGACAGTGAATGCATATTCTTAATTTGACTGACTCCTTTTAGAAGTCATTCATTTCACATATAGCATATACATTCAAACACAGAATCATCTTAATTTACTGATCTAGAATATATACTCTGACCCACATAGATCCTTCAGTATAGTTAAGTTGCATTCTCAAAGAAATCAATAAGCTTCTCTGCACAGATGCTTTTTTGCTGAGTAAACTAACTCTGAGCACGTCAGAGGCTTCCTTCCAACTAAATTATCTGATACTCCCAGTGACGCAGACAAGCTCAGAATTAGAAGTACTGACCTAGTAACAAAAGGAGAGCACATTATAATCAGTCTTGTATCCTGTGGTGTGCATTGGCAGACAAGAACTGAAGAAATGATCGTGAAAAACTCAGAAATACAATTCCACTGGTTCTAATTCTCCTTTGAACAAAATCTGTAAGATTGCAAATGTGTACCAAAATACACTGGAGATTAATAAAAAAATCCCACTGCCTAATTCCTGAAATAAAGTATTTTCTTCTCACTTTTAGGTATATGAAAGCAATATAACTTTGTGAAGGCATGAGGGCAAATAAGAGAAGATGAACATTTGCAATATGGCACATCACACTTCATGTCATGCCCTTTTAGCCCTAGCAGTACCTATTGCTGAAAGTCCTCTGTTGAGGACTGTGTGTTACAAACTGCAGCTTACAAGGCAGATGCCATGTAATGCTCTATCCTTTCAGACAATCTTCTATCAACAATTAATTTTCCCCAACACAAATGTTTTGATTTTATATTCCTAAGCCACAAAATATGTTACAGACTACTGACCTAACAAGTTCTAAAGCTGCCAAGTGAAATGGCTGCTTCTATGAAGGTGCTTGTCTCTATTTTCACTGACTAGCAAGGCAGTCTACAGGGAGTAACTTAAGACTAGGGTACCAAATCTCTAGAAACCTAGAGTTAGATAAGCTGAATCAATCACATGCGCAATGTGGAATGACAACAAGGGCTAAAACATTGCAACAGTGACAGAAGGAGCACAAATTATAATTAGAAAGGAAGGAGCACTGGTTATGCCTGTTTTATTTATTCAGGTGGAGTACAGAGAAGACCATAAAGATTGTTTTCACTGGGACTCCTTTCTCCTCAGCCAGTCTGTCCCTGCACGTAGCAAGACTGCAATGTTCTTATTTCATGGAGGCCTCATTCTCTAGCTTAACTAGTTTAATAGCTCTGTCATTCTCTTGCTGTCAATGGACGTACTTTCATATAGAGTGGAATGAGACCCTAAAATAGACATTAATAATGCTTCAGTCAAACTATGAGCATGTAGCTTTTTTGATAAGTGTTGCCTATGAAAAAAATTTAAAATCAAATATTCTAATGCCTCTTTAGACATTTTCCTAACAGAGAAGCTTCCTAAACCACTCAGCACGTGTGGAATTTTGTTGATTACAAAACTAAGGCCAAATCTTGACTTCTAGGTCTAAAAGATCCTTGGTAGCAGAACCTATTTATGTACAGGTTGCCTGTACATAGTAAAATACTTTGCAGATACCCTTCTGAACTGAATTTTTGAACAAGACACCTTGGAGTTAATTTTATTCACAGGCATATTTAGTTTTATGACAAAACATCTCCACATCTTACCTTTCTGCTGCAGGTTCTTCACACTGTATAAAACTGTTAGGAGAATAGTCCCAAATGCCCCACACAGCAGACAGACTCGAATTTAATTGAGAAACACTGGAGTCCCCTATGTAGTTCTGAACATTACATCGGTCAGAACACACCTTCTGGGAATTGGCTGAAATAACACCGATTTCAGCATTCCAACTAATACTGTGTTTTCTCTGTAAAACCCATAAACCCGACATCCTCCCCAGTATTTCCACTGGCAAGGAAGACATGGAGACTGCATTTATATTCCTAATACTTTTGCCATTACATAACAGCGTAAATCCAGCTAAGACCATTACACAACTGGTCTTTTTTCAGCACCAACTTCAGCAATGACTTTTGACAAGAACCCCTCCTCCCTTCGGCAATGCTGCAGACCACCTTTAAGGAACAACAAAATAACAAAAGTAAAAATGCAGTGCAACATGTAATACGTGTCAGCAGAGACAAGAAAGAGTAATTTGCATCTTATCAGAGCTCACTGATAGTTAGCTTAAAAATCAAGCCCCCTCCATCCCTGCCTCTCCACCATTATGCGCATCACTGTGCCTTCTTCATAAATAAATTATCTTTCCACAGAGCACATTGCCTTAGTTAGTTATGCTCTGTGTTGATAGAGAGCACAGTATTTTGGCTCAGATGTTTTTATCATCATATTTATGTCATATTTACAGCGTTCATTTGATACCTTGCCAAACACTCTGGTAACAATGATCTCTTCAACGTAGTTCTTTCTGACCTCAGGGAATCTTCTCAGTTGTATGTAGCATTAATAATCTGAGCCAGCAGATTTCGTATCCTTGTGTAACACACACCAGTTTGCAGTTTTGTTTTAACAGACTGAACAGCTTACATAATTTTCAGAAACCTTTAAGAGCAGAAATAAAGTCAGATATTCCAGGTAAGACCTACTAACATTTATTCAGTGGGAGAAGTGCTGTACGTATGGTCCTCCTAACGCCACCAACTGCTCCGGTATGCTAAGTAATCTAATATACCTGTACACTCTCATCCTTTGAGCAGCCATTGCTGGCAACCATTAGGCAAGTACTGACCACGCAGCTCATCAGGACAGGGAACAGCATCTCAGCAGTCAGCCAGCCATCGGCTGAAATAAGGTTGGAGACCCTGCACCTTAAGGCAGAAAGGCTCCAGCAGAAACAAACTCAGATAATTCAGGACATGCAGAGATTCAAGAAATACCACCTTCCAACTCAATCCACAGCGTGCGTTTTTACACAAATACATCTTTAGACACTATGCCTTTCTTACACTAATACAAGGTTACCATAAGTCCTCTGAGTTTAACAGCATTATGCTGGATGCCCAGTAGCATTAGTAGAAGTAGAAAAGGCCGCTTGATTTATGCAGTTAGAGTAGGAATGCCTTCTCTGGTTTTGTGGCATCTAAACACACTCCGTAGCACAGAAGAATTGCTGGTAGTGCCTAACAAGGGTCATAGTCCATGCTTTTCACTTAGCACTTAAGAGTAAATATTTATAATGTACTTCATAGACAAGAAGGATTAAACAAATATGGTATGTGAACTGGTGTCACAACTGTAAACTTGTAAATAAAACTCACCTGTGTTATTGTGAACATTACCTTTTGATATGACATTAACCTAAGTATTTCATCCATCAACTTCCAATTACAATTTGGTTTTCAAAAATAGGGGATTTGTTTAACAAAATCAATTACTTATAAAACTGATTATTAGAGGTTATTGTAAAATATGCTGATATTGCAGTTAGATTCTGATAATATTGCCCAACACATTTAAAAGAAGCTTTAAAGATAACTCACATCTCCAGTACTGTAACATACTAATTAGGCAAAGTAGATTTGCAGCATATTTTGACTGCGTTTTCACCTGACAGTTTCATATATTGCATTTAGGTTGTACTATCATATGACAAGCCAGCCTGATTTTTACAGCCAGTGAAGCTAAATGAAAGAAGATAGCGTTTCATAAAACACAATGTGTGGAGGAAATAGTACTTCATATAGAGTATAGCTAGGCAGCAGACATATAGAGAGGCCTGAGAACTAGACGTTTAAATGACCAACATCATCTGCAGGATAAGAAAGGATAATCATAGTGCATGCTATTTGATCTCAACTCAGTACAGAATTGCCTTTCACATGACAGAGTTAAATCTAACCTTCCTTCATAGGAAGGTACATCGGCTGCTGACAGAAGTAGGCTACAAATATAATATTCATATTTTGCATAGCAAGCTGCACATTTGACCTACTACAGTAAATTATAAAGAATTTAAATTTAGCTTCTGTAAAATTAGTACATTTGCTAATTAGTACATCTTCATTCAGCATTGTGCCTTTCCATCAATGGTTGCTAGCAAAATTAATCCATTTGAGAAGCCCTCTTCTGTGATAAAGCTGACATAAGATTCGACAAAATGCAAACAATTAACAACAAAACCATACAGTAGAGCAGAGCCTGGCAGCACAAGCCATACCCTATGGAGTTTGCTTCTTTTTAGTTTTCAAAACATTAGTCAGCTTAAGAATGACATTTCTGGAATCAATGTAAAGTATCTGGGTCTCTGAGAAAGTCTCTGTTAGAAAACTATTTTTCTGTCAATTTTCTGTGAAAAACAGGGCTCAGCGTTCACTAAATTATGCTAATGCTCAAGTGAAATAAATGCATATATGAATGGCAGATAACACGTACA